GGACTCGATCCCGGGACTCCAGGATCATGACCTGAGCCGAAGGCAGTCGCTTAACCAACTGAGCCACCCAGGCGCCCTGAAATTTTGTTCTTTCTGAAATTATTCCCAAATCAGTTTGGTCGCTCTTCAGTGGTACATTCTGATCTGTAATTTCATTTTAGGGAAATTCATCATTAAAGGCAAATTTCATTCATAATGATAGCAGAATAATTCTTCTCTTAATTAATGAAGATTAGAAAAAGAACTGTGTATTCATATTCTAAAAATTATATCTGTTAACAAGTCAAGGAATAAATAGAAGCAAATAATATGAAACAATTAAATTTTCCCATGAACATGTGTTTTTAGCTTTACTGAACAGATTTTAATACTTATGTTTGTTTTTGTATGCTCTAGATAAAAGGATACATATACATTTACTATCCACTTACAACTTTTTCAACTCTATGAGTCTATGACAATTCCTCATGTTTTGGTCTTTTAAGAGTATATAAGCTGACTGCATATGGTTTCTACACAAACATGCCTATTTACTCAAGCTTTGTTGGATATACCTTGACATCTGCTTCCATGCTATATCCAGAAGAGTGGTGTATGCACCAATTAATATAGCATCAAAGTAACATGGGATAAGATAACGTGGGATCTGCTTCAGGTAGAAGAACATAGCCTGCAACCATTTACCAACCTGTTATAAAAATAATTTTAAAAGTTAATTTGGTGTGTTTACAGGCTAGGTGCATTTTAAGAGGTAAATCCAAACATGCAGCTCTACTATCTAGTAATCTATCAACCAGATTTCCATTTATTAGAATGGGAAGATGATGAAGAAGGGAGGAACATATTTCAGGTTAGAAAACCGTTATTTTATTTAAAGACTTTATTTATTTGACAGAGAGAGAGAGAGAGAGAGCAAGAGCAGGAACAGAAGCAGGGGGAATGGGAAAGGGAGAGCAGGGAGCCTGATGTGGGGCTCAATCCCAGAACCCTGGGATCATGACCTGAGCCGAAGGCAGACGCTTAATGACTAAGCCACCCAGGTGCCCCAAAACTGTTAATTTTATATATACCATAGTAATATGGTTTTTATTGTTTCCTTGTTTTGTGAACTAGAATAGAGTTTTACTTACTTCAGCAATAGTTCCGGATCGTGAAATAAGTCGGTTACTGACATAGTCAATCATCCAATCTCCAGATCTCAAATTATCACAAAAGGGATGCCCCAAGTCATTCTTTGGTCTTATTTCTGCCAAGACGGACATTAATCCTGAAAATTCATAGAAATATCGTGCTGTTATTGACAGAGGCAATTTGTTCCCATAGCCTGGGCTACTGCTGTCTCTAAAGATGTGGGGTGAACACATATAGAGGTAGACACAAGGGCTGAAAAGACCACAGTGGCACTTCCCATGGTTGGAGATATCTATGGCAACACTGGCTTTACCTGAGATATAAAGACATACTGAAGGAGACTACTGTCGCAGGAGCTATGCAGAGCTTTCCAAGATTCCTAACTTCTGAGACTTGTCTTGTTCTTCTGAATTTTAATATTATAATATTCAAAGGCAACTAACTGGCATAGTTTCCCTGCCCTAAGGCATTGGGGGGAAAATTGATAAGTCTGTATCTTCTCATGTTGAAAAGTGGCAGAATCATTAATATTCAGGCAATCACAGGACTGGTTTCAGAGAGAGCAAGAGCATCTCTGGTGATAATAATAATAAGGCCTGCTTTGGAAAGGATCTTTGAAAGGTAACAAGAGGGAGTTGGAACTAAAGCTACCAAGGTGAGGTATATGAGCATATCCTTAAGTAATACTCAAACAGAAACATTAGAATTTCTGTGCATACATAGTAGTTTTTGTTATTTCAATGACAGAACAATAGTACTTCTTTCATTACCCAATAATGTAATAATTTCCACCTTAAAAATATTATATTAATAGCCTCACCAATTTCATTTTGACTAAATTTATTTATATATTTAGGATTTAATTTTACTGTGTATTTAGCATGTCTTGAGAATATAAAAATAAATATGTAAATTTAAGATGTAGTTCTTTCTCTTAAGGGGCTTACATCCTTCTTTGGGAAACAAAGCTTAAAACATAAAAAAAACTAGGAAACAAGACAGTATAAAATAATGCTCCACTTTTTTTTTTTTTTATTTGACAGAGAGAGACACAGCGAGAGAGAGGGAACACAAGCAGGGGGAGTGGGAGAGGGAGAAGCAGGCTTCCCGCTGAGCAGGGAGCCCGATGCGGGGCTCGATCCCAGGACACTGGGATCATGACCTGAGCCGAAGGCAGACGCTTAATGACTAAGCCACCCAGGCACCCCAATAATGCTCCACTTTTGCTCTAGCGTTTTCAGGGGAGGCTAATAAAGCTCAGTAAATGTAAGTTTCACTTGTTGAATAATGGTGATATGATGAAGCAGCATTTTAGGAAAAGAGATCTGATCAATGGGATAGAATGTTCTGTGGAAGAGGTAACAAGAAATTGGAAAACTGATTACTTGATTTTGCAGACAGGACTTAGTCTTTGAATAGGGTGTTAACTACGAAAATAAAAGGATATGGTATACCACAGAGAACAGAAAAAAATCCAGGCACAATTACTGATTGAGTACCAAAGATAAAAGGGACAGAACCAAAAACAGATTCCTGGATTCCAACATGACTGAATATGTATTATTATAAGAAGTAGGGAAGGAGAGAAGGGGTATTGTTTAGAGGAGAGAAAGTCAATGAAGTTAAGTCTGACTTAATTGGATGTTGCTATTAAGAGCCTGCTAGAAATAGCCAGTGGAATGCTGGAAATACTAAACTGTCAGAGAAAAAAGGGATTTATATAAAGTAAAAAGTAAATCAGGAGAGGATAAATCAGGAGAGAGTTAGTGAAGAACTAGAACGTAACTTTAAGAAAGACAAAGTCCAGAAAAGAAGTTCAGAAAAGTGTGGTCTTTTCAGTCAGGGAGCAGAAGGAATTCAACAGCTTGGGGTGAAAATGGAGTAAACAGCTGTCTATGAGTGGTAACATACACATTTCTCTATTTCTCACAGCACAAAACATTTTGGGTTGAAAATTAGACTGTTTTAGAAAAAAAATGTCAAAAGTACAAAAGTATAGAAGAAATTTATTGAGAGCTTCTTGTGTACTTGGTTTTGTAGAAAGTACAAAAGCTAAAAAAAAGAATGCAAAAAAGGCAAACATTCTTCTTTCTCAAGGTACAATCTACTTAGTGGAGTTTCAAAGCTAACAATTAAAAGTACTAGCTATGAACTAAGTGTTATTTAAGTGCTTTGTGGAAGATGTAAGAATCGAACTCATCCTTAAAGATGGGTTAGGTGGACAAAGAAAATAAGGAGTTGCAAAGGAGGCATGACGTGGAATACTGTATGAACTAGGAATACATGTGTGATAAACCAAATTTCCTAGATAAAAATCCAAGAAAATATTTCCAACCAGATGGGTTAAACTGATAATTAAATATTTAGATCCTATGTCCTGCCTTACAACTACTCTAATTGCATAATGTTTTATTATAAGTTCTCTTTGTAGGATAAAACAAATATGCAATGAGACAAAGTTTCCGATTAGATGAAAAAGGAAGATGAATGTATTATATTTATAACCTAGTCCCATTTGGGGCCCAAATAAATTTTCTCATTTAGTCTTCAAAAAAGCCTATGAAAGAGACAGTATTATTCACATTTTATAGAGGCAGAAATTGGGGCACAGAGAAGTTAAATTACTTGTTGGAGGTCAATGAATGAGGAGGTGGCAGAGCCACAATTTGAACCCAAGCAGCTGAATTCTAAGCCCATACTTTAATTCTATAAAGAAGATACCAAATGACCCTAAAAAAAAAAAAAAAAAAAGAACCCAAAAGCTTAACTATCCTTGTATTTGCTTACCTTGAAGCCCCGCATATTTAAGAGATGACCAGTTTGGTATGTCATAACAGCCTCCACCATCTTCTTGTTCTTCTGCTTCACATCGGTAAAGTACCTGATTCAGTTCAGCCAAAGTTAATTTTGAGGCAATGCTAAGAAGTAGAAAATAAAAAGAGCTGGTTAAATACAGTAAAATTTCACTTGCTGTCAACAAAGAAGAAAATCTGAATCATAACCATAAAATGTCTTAGCAATGTATGTTTTAGTAACTCAGCATTAAATATATATGTAATATATGTTTTAAATAATAATTAAAGGATAAAAGATGCTAAAAATTCAGTTGGAAAGTAACATTTCTTTCAAGCCAAGAAAATAATCAATTGCTAAATTTTATTACTTAGAAGTATGCTGGAAAAATCTTTTGGTTGCTACAACCTTTTTCTCACAAATTTGCTTTTTCAATCTTTCTAGATGGGCTTGGCTTTTTTTCCCTTCTTTATATTCTCCTAAGGAGGACATCAATAACTTTTTTTTTTTATTCTTATATTAATCCCCATACATTACATCATTAGTTTTAGATAAAGTGTTCCATGATTCATTGTTTGTGCATAACACCCAGTGCTCCATGCAGAATGTGCCCT